AAAAAAAAAAAAAAAAATTACACAAGAAATGCGAAGCGAAATAACGTTTAATAAACGGTTTATCCAAATTCAGCAAAAGGGAAAATACCATGATGGGGCGGAGTGCGAAAATATATATTAACAGGAACCTGTTCTGATATATGCAGCGGTACACATTTGCATAATGCGACGCGGTGGGCGCAGAAATCTTATGAGGTGCTACTTCAATCGGTGGTCCGTCGTTGGGCTAATCGAACAGGGGGTTGTACTGCACCTAAAGTGGAAGTGGGGTGGTCACATTAGGAGGAAATTTCTCAAGGTGCGCGATTGTGGGGTGCATTCGCATGAATATGTATGCATGTATGTATTGCACCCTTTCATGTCTGTTTTACAATTCAAAATTGTTACCTTTTTCTTTATGGGCTCCTTTTCGAACAAGTGTTTTCCCTTGGGATCTGGACGGAGGGAGGGAACGACAAAATGATGAAGACGTGGTGTGCTCGTGACTGAAGCTTTTCTCTACGCGTTAGCTGAGGGCACCGGGTGGGCTCACACATGCTCAAGTGCGGTAACTAATTTTGGTGTAAATCGTGTGGGGTGCTAAAATAATTTTCTCACGGTTTTACCGTTGAGGAGATTCTGCTGCATGTAGTTTGAGGAGGGCATTTTCTGATTCATCATGCCACTGGACTTCATCGAATTTGAGTTCATGCTGGGAGAGCCGTTCCGGTTTGGCATCATTGGGTTGCGTTTGCTGGATTAGCGGCAGGGAAGGGGGGAGGGAAAAAAAGGATATGTATTGATGGGGGGGGATTAAACAAATGTGCAGGGAGGCCCTCGTGATGGGCGGGAAATAACCCGCTTATGCACGTAGTGCATACCTCATGGAGGGTCCGTCGCCCAAGCTGTGCATGCTGCCCTGTGGGGAGCTGAGGTTTTGCTTGTAGCCCTGTGTAACAGATTGTGCGTTGCCTGTTTTTAAGGCCTTTTGGAATTCCATCAAGTCCTGTTCATAATTTGCGTCGAAGAGGTCCAAATTGATGGAGGTGATATTAGGATCCTTCTGGAGCACCTGATTTGCTTTTTTGAGAATTTCCAGCTGTTTGTTGAGGTGTTCCCTTTCTTTAACAACATGAGCAGGTTCGTTTAAAAGGTCATACAGTTTTTGTTCACTGTTTAAATCTGAGTAGAGTTCGAATTGCATTTTTTCTTGCAGTTTTCTAATAAGGAAATAACCTATAATTTTGGGTACACTATCTCTGACATTTCGTAATACAATGTTGAAGTAGCAATCTAGTCTTCGTCTAATTTCTTGAATAAATTGAGCATTATATCTTGTTTTTTTTTTGTCCTTTGAATTCCACATATTCATAACTGACTTTTGAGCTGTGCTAACAAATTTGGCAGCTTTCCCAGTGATATATTCCTGTTCACTCATCATATTGGAGTAGTATTTATTTTGCATATTATTATTTTCTACATTTGAGTTGGAGATATTTGACTGTTGTCTTTTATTTTGTGCTCTCTGGTGAGAATTAAAGTCTTGGTTACCACTGTCATTATTATTTTCATCTTCATTTGCATTAATTATACTTCCATGTTCAATTAGGTAGGAAGCATCATTTGTGAAAAGATAATTGGTTTCTGCATCTATAAAATTTTCGAGTATATTATGTGTGTTTTCTTTTTCCCTGAGGAGAATTGTCTGCGACAAGTCGAGCACCTGTTCAGATAATGCTGGAAATCTTACTAGTACTCGATTTGCAATTTTTTGTGACAGAATTTCTAACGTCTGACTGACTTTATCTAGGCAGTTAAATACAGGTGCATTAATTTTTTTCAAATGTGGTAGGATTAAAAATTCAAAAGTATCGGGGGAGGGGAACCCTGGTAAACTATCCCCTTCATGTAAACAAATCGCATCATCAATATCATTATCACTCAATTCGCTTGTTACATTTTTCCCTACGTACTCGTCGAGGAACTCATTAAAAATGGTTCTAACTTTGAGTCCACAAATGATGTCATTATTTTCAATAAAGACTTGTAACCTCTTATCATATTTCCCCTTTAAGGTGTTTTTAAATATTTCACAATAATCTGTAATCATGGACCATAAGAGTTGTGTTTTTTTTGTTGCGTCGAGGGGAACATGGGTACCTAGTTCGTACAGCTTATCATTTATGACTCTAATTTTTTCATTTATTTCTATCTTAATATCTGGGAGGAAATTCTTTATGTGTCTGAGGAGTACTTTGGTTAGTTTATCTGTGAGTGATGTTGTTCCGTAGAGTGTTGGAGGTAATTTTTTGTATACTGGATGTGATTGAAAAAATTGTAATTCATCTTTTAGCGATTGAGCTATTGACTTTCCACTTTTAATATCTGCTGTGGATCGATTGACCACTCCTGTATAACCTAACCTGAGTGTGATTTCATCATTCATTAACATTTTACTTGCATCTACTCCTTTGTCCATTAAATCAATTTTGGTAATTACTCCTATTGTTCTTAACCCTTTTGGATCTACTTTGCGTGCTATTTGTAACGCATCACTTGTGGACATATCTGCATTAGCTGGTAATACGGCGAGGATAATTGTCCTGGGGTCTTTTACATAACGAAATGCCATTTCTCTGGTTAGCCTTTCTATATCATCTGTCTGGTCAGAATTTTTAAGAGGTACTCTTGTGATTCCTGGAAGATCTATTAGGGATAAGTCCGGACAGCTAGTTGAGTAAATATTCAGGACAATGGGCTCGTCTATTATACCTTTATTTTTTCCAGCTAGTTCATCAGTTAAATTGTTTATGTGTTCTCTGACTTTGTTAAAGTCGGTGAACTTTTTATTTTTGTCATCTTCGAACACAGCCCAGTGCTTAATTTCGCTATCTTCCTTTATGTGTATGAGCCTGAATTCTATGGGCCTCCTGGTAACTATACCTTCTCCTCTGGGGAGGAAGTCCAGCCCCACAATCGATTCCAGTACACTGCTCTTTCCACTGCTCTGCGTACCCACCACACATATACGTGGCAGATTGATGTACTTCTGCAGCCCGATGTCCCTAAGCTCGTCGATCACGGTGATGAGCTTCCGCAGGTTGTTGTACATGCTGGACTCCATGGTTAGCGTTCGTGATGCTTATATGTTGTGTGGGGAGGAACAGCTGTCCGTGTTCTTCGGAGGCGCTGCTCAAATATGCACGGCGCGAGTTGGTAAAAAAAGGGTAATACGCTTATGTCGCTTCGGTGACAGGCGCCTTTCCTGGCCACATATATTTTATAGCCCCCTTTGTTCTTCCCGCTTGTGCAAGTATAAATTAATGCTAAAGAGTACACTACGCACTTTTTTTTTTTTTTTTTTTTTTTTTTATTAACGTTCAGGCGATCTGTGTCATGTGTGCAACTTCGCACTGGCAAGCGTGGCACTTTTGAAAATGAGAATTCTGGGGGAGGGATGAATTGTGCTAAATGTATGGCGCGCAAATGGGCGCTTACGGAGGGTACAATCTGGGCACAAAAATAGCAAAAATGTTAGCCAAATATGGCTGGCATAAAGTGGCGAACAGATTGGTTAAAAAAAAAAAAAAAAAAGAAAAAAAAGGCACAGAAAAATGCGGCAAGAAACAGGGCAAAATACTACGCTATGCTGGACTGCACACACCCAGTCGCACGTATGCAAGGGGCAAGAATATCAATGCATGCTCGACTTATCAGATAAGCAACTGTTTTTATTTTTTATTTATTTTGCGGGGGGCGGGATAACATGCGACAGGGTGTACATTTCTGCAAAAATTCGAAAGACCTCACTTTATAACATGTGCCAACTGTTTGCACGTGGTGACACAGAGCAGGTAAAAAAAAAAATAAAATAAAATGAAAAGAAACAGAAAAGAGATAAAGATAAAGATAAAGAAAAAGCAACAGGGACAAAATAACAATGGAACGCTCATGCGATGTACTGCATACTCTGGGCATGTCTATTAGGGACGTTCGCTCTCACAGTTGGGGCAGGGCGCGTACAGGGAAGCATTTATTTGTAAACGCCTGTGAACGTGCAGGGCGGTAGCTAATTGTATGCGCAAAACGTTTTATAGGAGAAGCATGGCATGAACGTGTACCACCTATGCGTATAAACCCCCCAGGGGGCACTAACATTGTTTTAGGTACTTGGTCCAGCTTAGCGCGGTGGTATAAACACGGGATGTGGTTTGGTCCCTTGTATTTGAATAGGTAATTTTCGAGAATACATAAAAATTGGGAAATGCACGATACAATATAAAAAAAAAAAAAAAAAAAAAAACAAGGGAAAGCTGGGGAACAATCAGTCCACGGTAAGGCCCGTTCTATGGGGTAAACTCTAAAAGTACAATTCGTATGATGGAACCAATGAAATTTGTGAATATGCAAAAATGAACGAACAAAAAAAAAAAAAAAAAAAAAAAATTTTTATTAGAACTTGGTGCTGTGAGACTCCGCTGGGTCATTATACGTACGTGCATATAAACGTACATAAATAAGTATGCTTTAAGTACATGCATAAGAAATACATACGTGTATGCGTACATGTAGGCAAACGTGAATATACATGACATTGTATATGTATATATATTTTTTTTTTGTTTATTACTTTATTAGGCTTCCTATTTTTATGGGTGCTTTTTAATTTTGCCATGTTGACGCGATCGCTTTCGCGGGGTCGGCATTTTCGCCCTACATGTACTAAGATGCTACGTTGTAGTTTTGCCGCTTCTGAATAACGCTGCAACCGTTTTTGGTAACTCGCGGAGAAGAGGAAAAAAAAAAAAAAAAAAAAAAAAAAAAAAAATGAATACACCTGGTGCTGTGGTTGGTTTAGTTCCATTGTGGCAAAATTCTATCTGTTTTTTTTATCGACACGGTTTTATCAAGTTTGAATATACTCGGTATTTCTGCCACCCAGGTAAAATGCCTCTCCTAAAAAAAGGGGAGTAAACGCCAAGACACATATACACAATGCTTTTTCCATTGTGGTAAAAAATTACCAGTAAGTTGTTCATACAAATAGGGGTGGTTGTTCGATCACCTCTTCAGGGAAGGTATATAAAACGTTATGCGCCTTGATGAAGGAACGAGGAAATGACGAGATGCACAATTTGGCGCGAAAAGATCACGTTCCTTATATTCTTGTAAGAGGAACTATAGGGTCTATTTTTGGAGGCACAAAAAGTTTTCCCCCTTTGAGGCAGTTCCCTATTGGCTATTGTTTTTTTAGTACTGTGAATCCCCCCCCTGTTTTTTTTTTATTGGCTCTACGAGGGTTGATATTTCATGAGGGGTGAGAGAGGTATCGGGAAGGGACTACTGCGAAGGAGACATAGGACAGTGGACATAACAGCGCAGTACGGTATGGAGGACAAGTAAAACATTTGTGCAACATGGGGGGGCTTCTAATAATAGGACAAAAGCTGCCGTCTGCTCATGTTCACCTTTTTATTTTAAGTGAAAAAGGATTAAACGGTTATCCCTCTACCCATGTGGTAGTCTCATTTTCAGCCTCTTCATGGGGATAGCCCTTTTGCTGACACAATGTGCATTCGTAGGGTGACCTTAGTTTGTCCTTAAAAAATAGAGCCCCCTTTCGTGCAACCATTGGAGGTTATAAAACTGTTTCGTACATTCGCTTTTATATACACAATTACATTTTCCATTTAACCGCATTTTTGTAATGGACTACTTATTGTGCAAGATGCACACTGGGGGGGGTGAAGTATCGTCGACTGCGTTGGACCCGTGTGTGAGCGGTGAACTGTTTATTCAAATGTTATAAGGTTGTTTCCCTTATTGGGTGGTCCCTTTTACCAATCTGTTTCTTCACCAAGTTGACTGGCATGTGTCGGTATAGGTGTGCACAAAAAAAAAAAAAAAAAAATTGCGCATTCCCCTTAAATTGTACTAATTGCCCGTTGTGCCCCTTCACCACATGCGCCCGCAGTGGCAATCTGTCATGACGAACGGGTTATGCCCTTTAGGAGGAGAAGCTGCTCTCCATGCGGATACTCAATGCGTATAAAAGTAGCCTCACTTTTTGGTGCTCACTTTGGAGAGCTGCTTTAAGTCCGTGTCGCTTGTTTACGAAGGTGCTATATTTGGGGTGTTCAACTCTGGTGCTTTGTTACACGTTCTTCCGTTCCATCCGTCGTGCTGGGGTGTACCACGCAGCGTGAAATTTCTCCCCCATGTATTGAAATAAAAAAAAAAAAAAAGAATGTTGTTGTGAATTGCGCTGTTGAGAGGGCATACTCTCCTCTCCTCTCACTTTAGATTGGAACACGTTGCAGATTAACCATTATTGGGTGTAGAGGTATGCCGCCATTTGTGTACAGTCTTCTCTGCAATCCCAATATATATATTTTTTTAGTTAGTACCACTGGGGGTTGGCGGCTCTCTAATATGTAATCGCCGCTAACAAAATTGGAGATCCCTTTTTTGTGGTGAAGTGTTGGTATTTCTTTTCCATTGGGTTAGAAAGTTACTCTTCCCTTCGTGTACTCCCCCACACCTTCGGCTGCAAATAACTCCAAAAGGGAAAGGAGAAAAATAAAAAAAAAAATTAAACCCTTGAAAAGGCTGACCTGACCCAATGATCTTTTTATAGGACAAGAATGTTTTGCAAGTTTTTTTTTTTCCGTAGGATGTATATATAATTTTTGGTAACCCATGTGTGGAATGACAACATGTCATGGAAAAAAAAAAAAAAAAAAAAACACAACAGATAAACGAGAAGAGAAGAAAAGGGGATGACAAAATGGTGAGGACAAATCAGCCGTAGTGGAAAAGAAGATGCGCAAATGTCCTACCCTGTTGCTCCTCTTTGTGGTTCTCCTACCAATAGTGAGTAAAAAAGCGAACGCGAAGAAGAGTAGCTTGGTGAAGAACGAGACCATACGGGGTTCCAACACGAAGGAGGGGAAGGAGAAGCGCTTTAAGGTAGTAAGGAATAGGGGGCAGACCGAACTAGACCGGGTGGGATATACCCCCCTGTGTGGTGCTGCACGAAATGGGGATGATTTGACCAACGCATTGAGAAGTGGAGGGTCAAGGGGGGCACGTCTAAACGGTTGCAAGAAGTTAACATTTGTGTTGCAAAAATGTGATTTGCGGAGGGAGAAGCAGAGGAAGAATGTGGAAAAGACGAGTAGTTTTGAAAGGGGAATTCTTGGCGGGGGAAAATATTTGGCCAAGGTAGGGCAACACTTTAAAGGCACTCATCTTTTCAGCCAGAAGGAAAAACACACAAGCAGTGTTATATGCGAAGAGGTACGAACGCGAGGGGGTGTAGAAAATTCTCTTTTTTTTTTTTTTAACAAAATAAGAAGCAGAATGAACAAATATGTAGATCAAGTGAACAAGTTTGTGGAGGAAGACAACATGTTGAATTTTTTGTGGGTATGTAAAAATGTCTTGTGTAAAAAAAAAATAATTTTTTTAACATTTTTCGTGATGATTAACAGTGCAATTATTAGTATAATAATACCTCGTTGTGATAATTTAATATTTCAAAATATTTCAAACAGAAGGTTCGACAATTTTGGAGGTCTATTGCTGAATTGTATTTTGGTGAGAATAATTAATATGAGTTTGTGTGGGCTTCGAAATTACATTTTCATGGTTACCAGCTCGGATTCACTAAAGGAAGTAAAAAAACTTTTATTTGAAGTTTATATAAATAAGGACAATGAATATTTTGACCGAATGGATCAGAGTGAGATTGTAAATAAGGTAACGTTGGAAGCACACGACTTTGCAGATATTATTCCATATTATATAAACCCATTTATACGTAATTTTTTTTCCATCATTTTTAATTTTGGGTATATGTTTTATTTGAATTATAAATTGTCTTCAGTCATTATGAGTTGCTTTTGCATTTCCTCCCTCCTTACCATAATTTCCACAAAGTTGAAAAAGAGGAGGATAAAATCGATTAACAGGGAGAAGACAAGAAATACGAAAATATCTTTGGAGGCATTGAACAATATAAATGTTATAAAATTATTTAGTACTGAATTGTATGAGTGTAGTAGATATTCTCAATCGTTAAGTGATATTTTATCTCTTCAAATGAAAAAGGAGCATTTTAATCTGGTCCACATGGTGGTGAGCAAACTGTTTGTGTTGGTAACTTATGTACTCATTCTGGTGAAGGGGGAGACACTTTTAAAGGGAAAAGAAATTGACAATAGTACCTTTACGTCTTTTTTCTTTTATATAAATAATATTTACTCTTACATAGATATCCTCGACTACTATATCGATATATGTGACATTGTGAATCAGTACCGCCACATCATCTGGATGATCAAGGAGCGGGCGCAGAAAGGGGGGGGTCACATTGAGCCGCCCGACGGTAACTGCTCTGACGTGGACAATGGCGCTTCTCTTAACAAGGCAGCCGCGAAGCGAATGTCTCTGCATGTAGACACCACCGCGCAGAGTGCACAATCAGACGTCGTGCTGCACTTCAAGAATGTCTTTTTTAAGTACAGAAATACAGGCCATTACGTTTTGAAAAATTTGAATTTCAAAATTATGAAAAGCACAAATAATGTTATATTAGGAAAAAGTGGAGGGGGAAAATCGACGTTGTTGAAGTTGATGCTAAATTTGTACAAATGCTCCAAGGGGAAGGTGTACCTTTATAACAAGCCAATTAGCCATTACAGGGGGAGAGAAATTATGAACACATTTTCGTACGTCCAGCAGGATTGGAAGTTACTTAAGGGAACGATAAAGGAAAATTTAACTTATGGTATAACAGACGATTGCGCCAATTTTGACATGCTCGATTTGATTAATATTTCCAAGTGTTGCACATGCCATGAGTATATAAGCAGATTGAGGAAGAGGTACGAAACGATTATTTCGAATAGGACTGAATTGCTCACTTCGTCTCAAAAGCAGAAAATTTGCATAGCCAGGGCGTTGGCCAGGAATCCGAAGGTACGCACATATTTATTTGTTTACTTATTTGTTTACTTATTTGTTTTTGTCACTCTGATCCTGTTCATTCGTTTTACCCCGCACATTGCAGATCCTCCTGTTGGATGAGTCGACCTCAGCCGTGGACAAGGACAATGAGCGAGTCATTTTTCAAAACATAAGGCAGAACTCGCTTTTTAAAGACTTAACCATAATTCGCATAACGCATAAGAAGGCCAACTTGGATTTGGCGGACAACATTTTCGTTCTGAAGGGTAGGTCCCTCTGGGCATCCCGTCACTGCCGCCATCCGTTGTGCGTGTGCACGAGGGGGCGACGCTGTGTGGTAGTAAAATGCTCGTTGCGATGTTCGTTTAGCTAGTGAATTTTTTTTTTTTTTTTTTTTTTTTTTTACAGATGGGTCCATATGCAGACAAAAAAATGTTTAGCTTGTTGAATTGGGGAAGTTTTGGAAGGTGAGAAAAGTGGCGCCACTCCGCGTCAGCGTGTGGGTAATATCACTAACGATGGAATTTCTCGCAGTTGGTACTTTGCTGATCGGAAGTACTTGAAAAAGGGGCGTCGATCAGCACAGACGGGCGTTGGGCAAATCATACGGCAGATCGCCTTACCCATGCAGAAAACCTGCCGACGCCCTTCTTCCAATTTTTTTTTTTAGTCGTACACTATTTTTTTGCACAGCCTGAAAATGGACACGGTAGGAGGAAGGAATTAAAAAAAGAAATGAGGTAGCACCTTTGGGGGTGTTATAATGTGCCTCTATTTTACATGATGCTACTTTTTGAAGCGTTCCGTACAACTCTCTTCTCATTTTAAAGCCCATTTAGGGATTTATTTTTGGCCCTTTTTTTGCACATTTTTGCTGCGCTTGGCGTCCATTTCGGGGAGGCAGTTGACCCGGTTTGCTCACCTTAGGGTTCCGGGCAGCTCCTTCGCGCCCTCCATCTCCTGCGATATGTGTACGCAGAACATGCTCAAGAACTGGGCGTCCTTATCGGAGAAGGAAACTTTATCCTTTGCGTTGAGCGCCACCACAACGGCGATGACGGATTCCTGACAAGAGGGGGGGAGCGGGAAAGAGGAAACAAGAATGTGGTGGTGGTGCACCGGTGTGGGTATCGCGCCGGTGGTACATGTGCCGATGCACATGCTACAATGTATGTGTGGCGCTCTCCACTTACGTCTAGACCAAACACCGGCGCGGCAATGACCTGGTGGGCGTCAATTCTCTTCTTGTCGATGTAAAAGTCCTGGCTTTTGAGAAACTGCAGGGAATTCTCATTTTCCTTATGCCCTTGGGGTGCCTCCCCTGGGAAGGATATTTTTGTCCCCCCGTTTGTTCCCCCACTAATATGTACATCTTGCCCGACTCCCTCCTTCTGCGTACTCGATTTATACGAATGAGCGAAATTTTTCATGAGGCTCCCACTTTCGTAATTGATAAGTTTCCCACTTTTATATACTTGTCCAATGATGTCCTCATCGAGCGGTAACCGCACTATGTCGGTATTGACCAGAGAGTAAAAATTACGAGCGCCCTCATCAACAACAAATAAGAATGCATAATTTGAATTTAAAAAATTTGGAAGCTGATTGGAGACCAAGTGGAAAAGACTTTTATCCACGTTGACAATTTTGTTATTTTTTTTTTTTTTTTTTTTTTTTTTTTTTTTCTTCCAATTTGTTACTATCAATAAAGAGGAGAGGAAT